TTTACATCCATAAAAATATGATAAATATTCAAGAACCTTACGTTTGTATTGTAGTGTGAAAAGTAGAAAATAGAAAGAGTCACATATACCTATAAATATAAATAATCATAAAAAGGTCTTTCTAGTCTGTGCGCAATTTAAAAGAAAATTAGATTACAGCATGAAGCTCTAAACTTTCATGCAGTCTAGTAAGTAATTCAACGTTCAGTGTATTATCCTCATTACAAGCAAAGTGAGATCGATCCTTCTTAGTAAATAAATAAATATACAATACCATCACGAAACACTATCATTAATCCTCAGCTGATGCGGGAAATGCCTTCTAATGAGTACAGCAAACTATTTAAACCCATAAACCCAGTGATTGTTAGACTGTCTCGTAAAGAATAAAAGAACTATCCAAACTTAAGTACCAACAAGTATGAATAGTTTAATGTTTAAGAGGAATTATTACATACGATAATTAGGTAGCATTTTCATCTCCTGCGCAAATACTTTATGATTGTTAAATATTACAATGGTAATCTTTTATAAACATCAAATACATACACTTTAGAATACAACAGTACAAACTTATACTCTTGTAAATAACTGGAAGATATTTACATACGATTATACTTACTAAATCCGGATAGGTTGTTAATATTGATATTTGAAAACGAAAGATCTTCACTGGATTTTCTTCCCCAGATCATGTTTCTTGGAAAACATTTGATACAAGATCGAGAAATGATTCAAAAATCAATATTCTGTAATATATCGACGCCACCTCCTAGACACACACACCTGAATCCCACATTCACACTCCAAGGTCATCGTATCAGAATGATAAATTGTGTTCAGATATTCGATTGGACAACCATATAATTCCCAGCTACGACCATATGACGTCAAACCCGATATCTAAATACACAAATAACATAAAGAAGAAAATAAAAAGAAATACCATAAGTTCAAGTGATTTAAGTTGACAGATGGGATGGAAGATTTATAGAATTACAAGCTAAGATACTCGTCCTTTTTCCGGGTTATGAACTTAAAAAAATGTAGGGGTAGATGCTATGATAAATAACCCAAAAATCCTAGCTTTCACGAAATGTCTTTATAACATAACATATTATCATATTATTTATTACTACCTCACCAAATCGGTGACGTACGAAGAGGTAGTGGAAAATGTAGTGGCGGTAGGGGTACTTTCTGTTACCAGCTTTCAACACCCAGCTTTGTTTCACGTTATTAATTAATTGATGGTCACTGGCCACAGAAGTGTCTTTCAGGCCGAAATTATAAGGTCACGGGTCAAAGTAGAAAGTGGGTATAACTCAAGAAATGGCTCTTCATATGAGCTTTATGGTGGCTGTTGGAATAGAAACTTTATGTGTTATTGCAGTAGTAGCGGCTATTGTTTTTTCAAAGCATTCCTCCATAGAGAGTGTTAGCGCACTCACTCCGAGATATATAAGACGTTTGAATGGCCTCCCCCACACTGTGTGTATGTTATATTATAGAAAATATAATAAATATATTTTGTTTATGTACGGATGTGGCGTCATCTATGAATGTAGTTAACGATAACTTACGTCAAATATAATAAATGCCTAATAACAGCAATATTGGGGGTAAAGGGAGTTCTGAACTATCATTAAAATGTCTCTTATTCTAAACTATTATCCAACAAACTTTGGTTAAGACTGGCTCAGCGACCTAGGGGTAGTTAGATAGCGAACAAATAGGCACATACACATATTTTTGTACTATATATATATATATATATATATAAAATAGGATTAGTCTGTTTGCTATTAAGCACAAAGTGACACAATTGCCTCTCTGTGCTGTGACCATCCGAATTTTAGCGTTATTAAAAAACAAAAGGAAAGTTAAGGATTTGGCTAAATAGAAATTAGGAAATCTAAAATGGATTATGGAAAACAATTAACTGATAATGTTAAACTTACAGCAAGTAGTTTAAGTATGTTAGAGATAAGCAAAATGTTAAAATGGGAATTTGGCCCTTAGAGGATACTGATGGAAAGAATTTTGTTGAAGACTACGTGTAGCTTTGGAGCACTAGTCATTTGGTTTAGTACAGGCTTGTTTCTGTTTATTTTTTCATTACTTTTCAAACTATCTTGAACTGTTCTTTAATCAGATATTGCAAGTGTACATTGTTTAGAAATTAACATTTTTTATAACATTCGAACGTTCTTTTATACTATCGTAGGGACACAGAACCGTCAATCCAATGTAACCACTTCCACACTTGAACTACTGGATTGGTAAATTACTTACAGGTGTGAAAATCGCGATCTAAAGTTTAAGAATAAAATGCACCTATATTCTCGAGGATTTAAAAATACATGCCAGTTTAATTTGCGAGTAAACTTTATTAATTAAACTATTTATTTCTTACATTTCAGTCCCTGTAAACCAGTAAAAGTTATATATATTTATATTTAAATCACTAGTTAGATATGATTAGTTATATAACTAGCTATAACAGTTTTGGTTCAATTATCTAAGAAAGGCTTATTGGAAAGAGTTCAGTGGATGGCTAGCAGAATGATTCCAGGGATTAAAGAGTTGTCCTAGAGAAATAGTTTATGACCTCTTTATGTATTTTTACCTTAAAAAAAAGGGTACAAAAAGTTATTTTTTAAAGTTTACAAGATTATCCGGCGGATAAAGGTTCCTGATTTTTTTTATGCTATTGGGCTATAAGACACGAGTTTAACATTTAAAAAGAAGAAGCTAGGCTCTAGTTAAAACAATTTTATTATTGTGAAAATGGGATTGACTTATTGAATGAATTACTGTTGGATGTAGTGGAGGCAGATACTTTACAAGAGTTCCCCGGTGGGTAAGCGGAACGTTTACGGATTTTGAACACTAATATCCAGGGTTCAATTCTCCCGGTGTACTGAGATAAAATGACCCATTGTGTGGTTTGAGCTAAAACAAATCACACGCACATACTGCCCTCATTGGCTAAGCGGTAAGCTCGAAGACTTAAGAATCACACTGTGGGGAGCACAGTACAGAAAGCATTTGCTCCCATAGTGGCTCATCCGTAAGTCTATGAGCTTATAACACTTCAACTCGTGTTTCTATACCGGCGGTGGATTGAACACAAATAGCCTATATTGTAGCTATACATTTAACAACAAACAAATAAATGTTGGCGGTATGTACTAATTAGCTGATTTCCCTCTAGTCTATCAGTTTAAAATTAGGGATGGTTAGTGTAGATAACACTTTCGTGGCTTTACGCGAATATTCGAAAACATACAAGGCCTGGTGATTAGGGCGTTTGACTCGCAATCTGAGGGGCAAGGGTTCGAATCCCCTTCACCGAAAATGCTCGCCTTTTGAGCCGTGGGGCTTATAATGTTACGGTGAGTCCCACTATTAATTGGTATAAGAGTAGCTCAAGAGTTGGGGTGGGTGGTGTTGACTAGCTGTTAAGTTAGGGACGGCTAGCGCAGATAACCCTCGTGTAGCTTTGCGAGAAATTCAAAAACATACAAACAAATAAACGATTTACATATAAACGTGTAAAACTACTTGCTCTATACATTTTCAAGGTTTTAATGCATTTTAATTTTAGTCTACAGAACCGTACGTACACATGTATAGTTCATGAAAACCCCAAATTATGCTTTCCTCGCTGAAAAATTGAGCAAAAGACAAAAATTCCAAAATTATCTGTATCTCTGTTTGGGGCGAGCAAAGGGTATATTTGTACAAACTCCATCTAAATAGGTCGAAACAAAGTTAAGTAATTGACAAAGGCCCCTAAAATTATGGGTTTATTTAACCTTTTGACCTCCCTAAAATGACCGAAAATGGACATATCCCACATTTTTATGTATATGTATGGGACCTGTCAAAAGGTATCTTTCTAGCAAATTATATGCAAATTGACTGAAATACGGCAGCGTAATTGTAAAAAAAAACACCTAAAATTATGCTTTTTTGTGGCATCTTGACCCCCTGTAATTGCTAAAAATGAGCAAGTCCACCATTTTTGTTGGTCGATGTGTGGGACCTGCAGAAAAGTATATTTGTACCGAATCCCATGTAAATTGGTCAAAACATGGTCGAGTAATTGACCCCAAACCCTAAAATTATGCTTTTTTGTGAGCTCTGACATCCCTAAAAAACTCAAAATAGGCATGCCCAACGTTTTTAATGTCTATCTTGATTTCTGTGAGTATGACCGTGCAGGAGTACAAAATATACATTTTTGGGTTGTTTGACTTTGAACCCCTTAAAATCCGTAAAAAAGGCCTAAACCAAACAAATGAAAAAGTGTCTGGGTATATTGGACAAAGGTATAACCATAACAAATTTCAAGTCAATCCGCCGAGAAATGAAGGAATGGCAGCCGATTGAAAATTGTTTGGAAGAAGAAGAAGAAAGGATAGAAAAACAAAAATACACGGGCCGGACATGGCCAGGTGGTTAGGATGCTCGATTCGCAATCTGTGGGTCGCGGGTTCGATTCCCCATTCCACCAAACATGCTCGCCCTTTCAGCCGTGGGGGCGTTATAACGTGACGGTGAATCCCACTATTCTTTGGTAAAAGAGTAGCCCAAGAGTTGGAGGTGGGTGGTGATGACTAACTGCCTTCCCTCTAGTTTTACACTGCTAAATTAGGGACGGCTAGCGCAGATAGCCCTCGTGTAGCTTTGCGCAAAATTCATAACAAACAAAAATACACTGTATGTACAAAGAAGAAACTACATATAATGGATGATCTTTTAATTACATTCAAGGTCTTACTGAGGACATGTTCTAGTATAAGATATTCTGTTCTTTCCTCATATTAGCAATAAGTTAAGAAACTATAAGTTATCTGCAAAACTAAAACTTTCTTGAATTATTCAATGCAAAATAAGTCTAGTATCAATATTACTGAAATTACGAAAGAACTCTTCATTATAACTACTTTTAAGAAAACATAGGACTAACTAAGTCTATTTTATTATTTCAGAGACTTCCAACAAAGTCCCTTCACGTATCTACTTATACGAAGAAGTTCAGATTTCTTGACTACTTATAAAATTACGCTTCAGATTCAGTGTCAACAGAGCTACCGAGGCAAACGTACGTAAAAAGTAGGAAGTTTGCCTGTGACAAGTGAAAATTTGCCTTCCACTAAAATTTTATTACAGTGGTAAACTAATGCCGCAAATATATTGTGTTTCTTTGCCACGTTGTTTCAGGAGATTGAATCTTGATCGCTATAGTCTTCTTTTTGTAGTATCGGTCTGTGCCGTTATAATCAAGAAAAAGAATGTATATGATCAATTAATCAATTAATACATTTAACAAGATCTTGTCTTTAATGTCTTTAATTTTTTGACGAGCTTTATTTATTACATGTGCATTATTCAGTGATTATGAAGTTACCTGTTGTTGTCGATCAACTTTGTGAAAAATATTAATATTTCATAAACGTGTTAACAAAATTAATATACTAAGATAATTACAGCAAAAGTGGTGCATTAGAACAACATGGAAAATACCCACAACTATATTACATAACTGGTTCTTTACGTATACTTAATGGTCTTACATTTCGTTAAAAATCCGTTGCATTTTAAAAACGTTGTTTAATTCACCAATTTAACGTATTTTACAATTCTCAAACGAATAATATGATATCATCCCAAAAGTAAGGTACTGTTTTATATAGACTTGTATAGTGAAAAAGCTAGAATTTTCGGTGTACGTATGAGCTCCAACGAATAAGCTCCATGTTCCTGAATAAAGCAATGAGATATTACAGGTTTTGGATCTACTCCTGTAACCTGGCTCTGTTTCTCAGTGTTCTCATCTTTGTCTCATTAGCTGCCTGGACGTTTACTGATTACAGAATGACTTTATTTCCTACAATTAGTCTCTATCATCCCACTTTCGTCTATGCTTATCTGGCATTAATTCTTCAAGGTGGTATTCTTCAGGTTGTTGGTTGCTTGGGTGCTTTAAAGCTGAACGAACGGCTGTTGAATATATACTGGTCCCTCATGCTGATGCTTCTTCTAGGTGACATCATTATTGGTTTTGTGTGGATCTTTCATTATAACCATATTGCCAGCCACCTACTTAGCGACCTGAAAACTAGATTGCAGACAGATTACGGGAGTGATGTTGCTTTCCAGTTTCTCTGGGATCGCTTACAACAGGAAGAATACTGCTGTGGTGTAATCGGACCACAGGACTTTAACTTATCTACATGGTTCTCTAGGCAACGACGTGCTTTTACGCGGCAACACCAGGTGGTCCCATTAAGTTGCTGCGAAAAGCCGCTTGAAGACACTACGATGGAGGACGTTATCAAAAATCACACGTATATTGAAAGCTTTCATGGGATTGATGTATATCAGAAGGGTTGTTTCGTGGCAGTATTTGGGTGGTTTCAACGAAGTGCAGATATGTTGTCTGTACTGGGTTTCTGCGTGATTTCCTTCCTCAAAGTATGTTTCTTGGGAATTCTTCGATACGAGATCCGAGAAATGATCCAAAAAATCAAGATTTTGAAAGATATCGATGACACTTCGTCAACAAACGTAACCGAGTCACTTATTCACATTCCAAAGTCATCGTTTCAGAAAGATACATCATGTTCTGATGTTCGTTTGGACAACCATGTGATTCCCAACTACAACGTCGTGTCGTCGGATCCTACTTCTAAAGACACAAACGGAAATAATAATGATACTGGACGAAGCTACTCTCTGAAGTGATAATTTAAAAAGCACTCTTCAAGCCATCAAAGTATGAAAGCAAAGTAAAGAAAACATATACTCCAAATGACTAAATTATTTCTATCATTGTCATGATCTGTTGTCGTTGCAAGCAGTGTATGATTAAACTGATTTAATTTTATATATTATTAAAGCCATTCTATTGTTAATTTTTTGAGATTATTCTACTTAAATATATTGTTGAAGTAGTTACTAAAAACAGACTTAAGCTTGTATAATGATAAAAATAGTAAAAATGTCTTTATTATTTGATGTAGATGTATATAACGCTTCTTTTTTGTAAATACCTTATCAGTTATTTCACAGTATTTCGACTTGCATCCTCTCTAAGTAAAATGTATATCACTAAGCCGAATGAAACATGGAAGGTCACTATTATTGTTGTATAATTACCGGATATTTTACGTTTGAGATTAACATTAAGGAATATACGCAAAAAAGTGTTATATTTTGTACTGTTGGTTTATGTAGAGTTATCACAGCGACTCTTAAGATCTCATTCAAATGAGACAGAGATGTTTTGATATCTTTATAAGCGGTCCGCTGAGTCCAATGAAATCGTTGGAACGTAACTAGTATTAAAGAGTACAAAAATCGAGTTACTATTTAAAATTATGGATGAAAACCGATTGTATTATCAGAATCCCAAGTTATAAGATAATGTTTCCATGAGGCTTTCTCATTTTAATTCGAATTCATGTTAGAGGCCATTTGAATTGTTTAGTTAAAAATCAGCATCAAAATCGATTCAATTGATTATATTGTCATAAAATAATGGATTTAATATTCCTTTTTGTTTCTTGTGTCTCGAACATATTATCACTATCTCCCTCTATTGAATAAAATGACAAATAAAATTTTCATTAATAAAGAACATTGTAAAAAATATACACTTTAAATTTTCAAAAATAAAGTATTTGTTCCTTTTTCCCAAAATTTATTGCACTCGTTATCAGGGTCAACATGCATAACTTAAATGAGAAGACAATTATTTTCGTTAATGTTTTACAAATGTCGTTAATTTTTTATGTACAATGAAGTTTTTTCCGTATTGTCATACAGAATTAATTAACTATAACATTATTAAATATTAAAGGTGATCAAGTTCATAGTAAGTTGTTTTCAACAATAACTTATACTACATACTCATTACGGACTGTATGTTTCCTTGGTAAGTTATAATGTTATGGTGGTGTCTTTAAACCTATTCATAGATAAAAATACACTATTATGTAATTTCTGAATAACTGATAGAATTTACCAATATGGAATAAACCCTGAATATTTTTATGATTGTAATAAGATTTCAGCTTTGGTTCTGTATTAGATGATAGTTTCGTATTTCAGCAATGACAAGACAGATGCAAAAGTTTACCAATAATGAAAAATTTGTTTAAAAGGTATGTGTATGTACTAAACTTTATAAGTTCAACTTCTCTAAACATTACAGTAATCTTTAAAAAAAATATTAATTCACTATATCATTTGGTAAATAAAGAACTCAGATTATTGAAAAGAATCTATTTACGTTCTCTACGTTTGTGTATTCATTTTTATTTTTCTTATATCCGCGCCTTGAGAACATGGGTGCGTTATTAGAGCTACAGTCAAATCCCACTATCAGTTAAAGTAGCCCACGACTTGGCGATGGTGGTGGTCTTCCCTTTAGTTTATCACTTCAAAATTAGGGATAACTAGCACAGGTGTCCCTCAAGTAGCTTTGCAACAACAAACTACAATTAGTATTTTTCTAATAAACAACTCTAACCCTCAACTGGTAGGGTGGGGGCAGAATGACCCACAACGATTTTTCAAGTCCAAATTCCAACTCAGCTAATGCTGCTCTCTACCTGATATTTGATTTCATAATACTGAGAAGTAAGTATACAGATAGAATGTAATGAAATTTGCATCTTAGCCTTACACTAGTGTTCAGTACTCTTAGATCTGCTCAATCATTTTTAGGTAAGCATAACCTAAGTGATAACGTTTTAATGTTGTATAAAACACTAGACTCATTTAAATTGTTTAGTATCTTTTCAACTAAATAACAGTTACAAACTACAGAATGTATAGTTTTATAATCATGATACATAAGATGAACGGTGTAATGATAAAACTAACTACTATTATTTCTTGTGTTGGATAGCATAACGAGAAACTGTATCGAATAAATTAAGCTGGATATTTATTTTCTGAAATTGTCTAAACTATACCATCACAGTGGATAAAAAAAAATGTTAAAATGAACAGCAAATAGCCTGTGGTGAATTGACATTTTCTGTAGTTCTGAAAAGAATGTTTTGGATTTAATCTTAGGACATCTGAACATATGAAAATATAGAAGTGGGTAACAACTTTACAGTTAACTTTCGGGGACTCGGCCAATTTGTTTTTGTTGTTATTTTTCAGAACAACAAACCCTGCTTACGACTTCCCAATTTAAGACAGACTGTTTACTATTAATTTTACACTAAGTAAGTTACCATAGTTTCATTCATAGATTTATTTGTATTTTGTTTGTATGTTTTAGCGCAAGGAGCGCAAAGCTACAGAGTAATCTATCTGCGCTCAGTCCACAATGGGTAATCGAACTCCCTGAATTTTAGCGTTTAAATTACGTAAACTTATCGTTAAACCACTGGGGAATTCATTAGTGGGTAATTTGAACCTACTAGACTGTCACATGTGAAAAAAAAAATGTGTCAAGCTTATTTAATTATAATATAAAATCTACCATGAAAATAATAACTGACGTGTCTAGAATCAAAGAAAATAATACCATTCATAACATAATTTTGTTTTTCATTTGCGCGATGTTTCAGTTAGATGTTTATATCAAGTTCTAATGCACCTCTGCTTGTTGAATTCCGTGGTTCATCTTGCTTCAGGTCAAGCTTTAGAAATGTCACAGAAGTATATATATTCGAAAGTAACTATATAATTTAACTTTTTAAATAAAATAGTGGAAGAGTAATCGAAAACAGTACATTTGTTAAATAAAATAACGGTGCTAGTAATATGTGCATAAAGCTCGGATTAACTTGTAGATTTAAATATTTACAGGAAACATTGTGTTTAAGAGTTTACTTTTTTATGCTTGTTCATTGTTAACTGTACAATGGGTTACCTGTGCTCTGACCGCTGCGGGTATCGAGACCCAGGTTTTAGCGTTGTAAACTTACTGCTGAGCCATTGGGGGCCCTACGTTGTGAGCAAGGTATTTTGTATTTTATGAAATAAGTACTTTATGTTTATTGTAATAAAATGGGCATAAAATAGTTATACAAGTACTTTTTTACCTTTACTTTCTTCTATATTGTGATTGTATTTTGAGAAGCCATATAATAAAACATAACTGTAAATAGTGGATATAATTTTTATCATATTCATTATGGATAGCCAGCAAGAAAAGAGAAAAATATCGCGTTATTTACATAATACCACTTTGGAAAGAAAATAAAACAGCTGTTTAAATACAAGTTAAAAGATTACATTCTCGAATAATGAAGTTTACTTTTATGTGCTTTGTATTATTTCTCTTGCAGGCACAATAAGGCAGTACACTGTTGATTTTTCCTAAAAAGAATATGTTATGAAACATACATTTAAAATCATCTATAGTTTATTGAGATATAGCATAGAAATATAACGTTTCCTTCTTGTAAGTTGAGAAGGAAGAGGAAGAAAACTGAAAAAGCAAAATTTAGACGTCATCGAAGTTTCCCTCGAACCATTCGGGATCTCACTTTCACAAATGGTAGTTTGTTTGTTTTTATAGAGTAAAGCCACATTGAGCTTTCTGCTGTGTTCACTACGGGGAATCGAACCTCGGATTTTAGCTTGTAAGTCCGTAAACTTACAGCTGTCCTGTCCCACAAAGGGACACAGGTGTTAGAGTATGTTATATTAAAACGGTTATAATACCTTACAACTATATTGACACAATCTATGTTACCACGTCCGGTTATGCTTTATCTGACGATAGTGCACCTTAACAATAGCCATGCATAGATTTTTCCATTGCAAAAGCTCCGTCGTAAGATTGTCATGTCCAAAGCACACCACTCCTCCTTTTCAGCTTTCTATGTCCATCCAGTGAACAACGACAGTAGTTCCCAGTACTCGTTTTATCGTTCTGATTGCACAGAAATTCAGAGGTGCTGGGTTTCACGACTAGAATAGCATGTCTCTTTAATCTCATTCTCCAGATATGCGACGATTAAACGGGAAATATGGCTGGAAGCCTTACCTTGGTGAACCCATATATTGTTGGCTTCGTTTCCAGACGGAGATACTTCATTATGTTGCGTACTGTTGCCTGAATGGACGGCTTTTGCCACTGACCTTTGTGTTTGTGGATTCTCGCCTATTACAAGACACGATAATTTACTTACCACAGCTGGGGGACGATTTATTTTTAGTCTGTTTCAGGATAGTCCGAGCCGCAAGTTGATCTCTGTTCCTTTATTTTGCAATAAAATTAAATACAAGGAATATTCCCATCTTGGATGTACAAATTTGTATGACGGGAAAGGGCTGTTATGAACCCTTCCAAAAGTGATCGATCTTTGGTGGCATCACTCCAAAACAATGTCAAATTGTAGTTTTTGCCACTTTCATTGGATCGTTTAAAAATCATAATGGGGATGCTATTATTTTTTGTATGGAACTATAAAAATTGTTGATAATATATATATATATTTATTCATTTATTTATTGTCCCGTGTGATAAACAAATTTAAAGAATACTTTGAATCTTTATCATGCCCCAAGTTGAGCAAAAAACGCGGCCGGCAAACTAATGAATGAATACGTGCTGTAAAATTCTTATCAATGGTATAAGTGTTGCTACCAGTTTGGCCACCAATTTTGATTTCATTCCTTTAAGTCGCACGCTCAATCATTCCTCGTCTTTTTTACACACCTAATACATTTTTGATTAGATATAGTATAACGTTAACGATCTGTATCAGAAGATAGAATATATGATATAGACTCTATGAGCTAATCTAACATCATGCCTACACGCACAAACGTTCGAGCGCACTAAAGAAATACACTTAAAAAACCTAGACCTTAAAAAACCTT